ACCTCACTGTGAGAGGTTCCTCCCAGCTTGCTTTGCTGTTCCACATTTAAATGTTATCCCAGGGTTAAACACCATCACGGGACACTGTACAGCAACTTAATTCTCTAACTAAAACATCAGAGAGGAGCCAGAGTGGCAACTGGGGGAATCTCCTGGACACAGAAGATCCAGAAAAATGAGTGCTGGGAAGCTGAGGAGCAGGGACACCCCATCCCTCTCTGTGCTCCCCAAGGCACTCCCGCAATGATTTGGATCCTGTCAATCCAAAATGTCACCACTGCCATTTGGGAAAAGCCAGAGTGGCATTTCCAGAGTGTTTCCACCTCTGCCTGTTGTGCCTGTGCTAATTTCTGCTGCTGAGGGGGATTTTTTTTTTGGTAGAAGAGGCACATCTGCAGCAAATGCCGAGCCTTTATTCCCTAGAATAAAGACAAATAACAGGAAGGGCTCCAAATGCTCCCAGCAGCAGTGGAATGACTGCACAGCAGCCCACAGAGAAGATCTCACAGAGCTGAAGTGGGATTTGTACTGCACAAGGCAGAGATGGGAATGGGACCATTACCAGGAGAGCTGCAGTCAGGGGAGGGAGGGAAATGGGGCTTTTCCCACCAAAATGCTTTGGAGGGGATTGCCAAGAGCCTGGAATACCAAGGTCAGGCACCAGCAGATGTGTGGGGGCACCTCCAGGGCCTGGGGCTTCTGGAAGGACAGAGGCTCCCAGAAATTGGGAGCACTGTTGGGAAATGGAAGAGAGAAAATGGAAAAGGAAAAGGAAAAGGAAAAGGAAAAGGAAAAGGAAAAGGAAAAGGAAAAGGAAAAGGAAAAGGAAAAGGAAAAGGAAAAGGAAAAGGAAANAAAGGAAAAGGAAAAGGAAAAGGAAAAGGAAAAGGAAAAGGAAAAGGAAAAGGAAAAGGAAAAGGAAAAGGAAAAGGAAAAGGAAAAGGAAAAGGGATGCTGTTTATTTTCAGTGTCCTGAGAGCATGTCCTGCAGTGGAGGTGGAGGGCAATGACAAGGGAAGGAAAGCAGCTCCAGGGAGCTGTTCCACACCTCACCAGGGTGGAGGCAGAGCAGGGATGCTCCACTCACCTCATCCTGCCTCCAAGGACCCTAAAGCCACGCCTGTGCTATTCCCATTCCTCTCTGAGGGCACAGAACTCCCTCAGCTCTCCTGACTTACTCTGAACCAGGATTAAATGGAATTTTGTGCAAGGATATTTTTGTTGCTATCGAGGGATGGTCAAATTCCCCCATCACATCATGCCAGGAAATCCAATGGTTTCCTCAGCAACTTTCCATCCTCCTCCTCTCCCATGGGAGAATCAAACTCCTCCCTCCTCCTCCTCCTCCTCCTCTTCCATGAAAGACAAGGCACCAGCTGGCATTAGGAAAAAAAACCCACATTTTCTTCTCTCCTCCTCCCCACCAAAACATTTTTAAGTTTCAGTTTAACTCGTGTTTCCCACCACCAGTTTGGAGCAGCTGCTGGCTTGCCCTGAGTGTGCCACCTGCCCCAGGAGCTGGGGACAGTCCCATGAGCCACTGATCCCTGATGGCACAGAGCTTAATCCCACTGGCACAGCCTGACCACATCTTCTCAGAAATTCATTAAAACCTTTTCTTCTCCCCACTTTAATTTCTTTTTACAGCTCTCAATCCCGGCCTTGAGCAGTTTTCATTGTTTATCTAAACATCTCCTGCCATTGCTTGATATTCCCTTGCAGCTCTCCTCAAACTTTTGGCTTCTCCTGCCCTTCCTTAGCTTCAACCAGCCCAGGACCAAATCCCCTGCAGTCCTTTCAGTTTAACACCTGCTTTGGTTACTCCAGTTGCTCTCCCATAAATTATTTCCAAACAAACTTGTAGCTCCAGTATTTTGCTCCACTAACAAACCTGGAGCTCCCACAGAGCTCTTCTGGAGGCATCTGAGTCCACCACAGGTTTAAAGATCACCTTTCCAGAAGCTCTTACACCACTGGAAATTAAAACTATTAACATGGTTTGGATTATTTTGTCTGCAGGCAAAAGCAGATTGCTGTTGCAAAGGAATTATTCCTGAGATATTGCTCTCTGCTTGTTCCTTCACAAGGACAGAGTTATAAAAAATTATGCAATGCCATAAGCTTAAAATATGTGGAAAAGAGAAAAATAACAAGTCTGCAACATTTGCAAGTGAAAAAATCCCATGCAATTCAAATCCCTCTGGAATTTACAAACCAGAGGAGTTGTCAAGTGTCAGTCCAAGTTTCTCCTGACAGCCTGTGTTTGTCACCCCCCCAACCCTCCCCCAAATTCCCAGCTCAGTGAGAATCCCTCTCCAGCACAAGCCAGCCCCCTCCTGCAGTGTCCAAAAGTGGGGAGATCCTCTCCAGCTAAAGCTCATCCAGTGTCACCTCTGACACCTTCCACCATCCCAGGCTGTTCCAGGGCTTATCCAACCTGGCCTGGACAGTGCAGGGGCAGCCACAGCTTCTGTGGAATTTTATAGTTCCTTTTGCACATCAAATATCTCCTTTCTGATTTTCCTAACTGTCCAACACCAACCAACGAAGACACCCAGCATTAAAACACTTTGGTCATCACCTTTGGAGGGCTGTGCCCCTCTGCAGACACCATCTTCTGCTTCGGCATAGAGGAGCAGGGGGTGCTGAGGCTGAGCTGGGTGGCAGTGGCAGAGGACAGAGAGCTGGAGATGGAGACATCTGAGGAGCCGAGGGAGGTGCAGGGCACAAAGAGCTGGCTGCTCCAGAAGAGCCCTGTGCAAGGGTGGAGATGCTGGGCAATGCCTGGTGGAGTCCTGGGGCTTGAGGGGAAATTGCTGAGGGAGGTTCCTTGTTCCCTGGTGTATTAGCTTAGATTCCTGTCAATCTCTGGATTTATCTCCAGGAAAAGATACTGCGCTGCTTTTTCAGAGCACACACTGGAGAAAAGGTGTTTTCCATGTCAAGCAGGCCCTTTCTCAATTAGAGCCCTTTGAATACAGTTTAGCAGCCGAGATAGGAAATCAACACGGATGCAGCCACAAAGATCATCCATCCACTCCTGATTAGTTCCACAATACCTCCCATCCGTGCCACCGCTTCAGCTGGAACGTTCTGCCTTTCCCTGCCTCCTGGACTCTGTTTATCTGAAGAAATATTGAGTGAGACAGCAGGATGCAGCAGGGTATTTGTCAGCGCATCGATCGGGATTTGCATGGCGCAGCCTGTTCCTCCCCAGCGTTAACCACGCTGTGAATTCCTGGGAAAATTATGGCCCTGTGTCCTGGCTTGTAAGATAAGCATGGATTCTATTGCCATCTGTTGGAGGTGGGGCAGTTTTCTTATCTCTTCCAAGAACAATGTCTCCCTCCGGGGAGAGATCTTCTGTTAATGGGCCATTAATGACTCACTGCATGACTGGTAAAGTTCCATCATCCCATGGTGAGATGCTCCGCCCAGAGGGAGGAGCCAAGCATTCCTACCTGCATAAAATCAGCATTTTTGGGACCAGGGCAGCCCTTTGCTGGATTCCCAGAGGAGCAGCTTCTTCCCTGCTGGATCCCCAGAGGAAGACCAGGCCCAGCTACTCCATCCCCAGACCTTCAGAGAAAACTCCACCCTTCTCCAGATCCTCGCTCCAGCAGCATTCCATCTGCCACTGCAGGAGGAGCAGCCACCATTTCACTGGACTATTCCCAACACCCCGACTCCTCAGGGTGTCAGCTTTCTGACTCCATCACTAGTTTTATTATGGGCTGTCCTTGGGGTGAAGCAAAACCATCTGAGGAACAGAAGGAGCAGGGCAGCTCCTGACTGAAAATAGACATCCCTTTAAAAATAGATGAAAGCAACATTTAATTTAGTTGAAAGGTGGAAATGAACCATTAAGAAATCCAGGCTCGTCAAAATACCTGCTTGTCATGTATATTTAATTGTTTTCATTTCCATTTGGATTGTGCTCTGCACTTACACAATGGCCACAGCTTGTCCTCAAGTGTCTGAGCACAGGGAGGGATTTGAGAGGATTCTGAAAGGGAGAAGGATGAGGAGACTTCTGGGCAAAAATTGATGCCAAACCCACCCAAAAGGCTGTTTTGAAGAATTATTAGTCGGTCCTTGATAAAAAGATGCAAAAGCAGGGGTAAGTAGCAGGACAAATCCACATTACAAATACATCAGCCATAAAAAAAACTGCCGCTTGAAAAAGTCTGGTAGAGCAAATCACCATTTTCCTTCTTTTCTTCCAAACCAGGACAAAAGTGGAAAGTATTGCTCCAAACCACTTCACTAATATCAGATCAGCTGCAAAAGATATTTTAGAAGCAGCTAATTACCAAATCTCTGATCAATGTGCAGTGGGATGAAGGTTGTACTTCCTGCAGGTTCCAGACCTCAGCTCCAAAGGTGTCCTTCAGAGTCCTTGAAAAATTCATTTTCTTCACAAGTCCCCTCGTTACTTATTAATGACTGTTATTCTGAATTCTGGATCACCATCATTTCCTCAAGCAGGAACATGATTTTTCCTTCTGTTATCAAAACAGAGTTGGGAACTCGAGTACCTGCCCCTGGGGTTTGAGTGTTCCCCCTTTTCTCCAAGCCAGGAGCCCTCATATCCAGAACTTACATGGATCCAGCAGGAATTTATGTGAGACCCTCAGAGTCTTCAATGTTTTCTCTTTAGAAATTCCTGCCAAGGGCGTTTGGTTTCAGCTGAGATAATGACATTCACAGGGATCACGACCTGGCCATGCAGAGGAGGTGTTTTGTCCTTTAACCACCAGGACATTTTTTCTGCACATCCACAATTCCAGAGGGATTCCGTGCTCCCAGGGCTGGTCAAGGATCTGACTGGAGCTGCCTGATTTTCCCAGCAGCTGTGGCCAGAGTTCCTCTGGCAGCTTTGCCATCAGAGCTGTGTCAATTAGGGGCATGGAAATTCATCCCACTGGGTGCCTTCCTTATGGAAACAAGTTATTACACGGAGGTTCAGCTAATGTGAGCATAAAAAATGATCTCTTCCCTCAGAGAGAGGACAGATGGTTCTCCCTCCTTGTGAAGGGCTGGTTTTTCAACACAAGCTGCCTCTCCAGTGGAGAGGAGGGGGGAATCATCTCTTAATTACTGCTCCGCTGGCTGAAAGCACATTCTTGGAGCAGAAGGTATTAGATGGAGTTTTCTTACACCTAAGTCAGACATAAAAAAGAAATCACAGAACTGTTTTGGTTAACGGGAGGAAAATTTATATTAAAAAACCCCACTAGAACTGTGTGATTTTTTCCCCACTTTACACAGAACAACCTGAATCAAGGCCAGAGTCTGTTTTCTTAGGAGATGAAACACAAACATCCAAAGAATTAAGTGACATTTCCTTCATGTTCCTGAGTTATGGATTAGAAAAATCGTCTCAGCAGCACTGATCAATGGGAACTTCAAAGAGAAACACAGCCCATCCATTACAGTTCCTCCCAATTACATCCTTCTGCTGAGAACTGCATTTTATGTTCCTTCCAGGCTTCCAAAAAAGAGGGAGCAGGATTTTTAAAAACAGCTTCTAAGTGAGTTTTACCTTTTTATTGAATTTAAACACCACAGGACTGGTTAAATTGGGAGTAAATTCCATACCTCTGAAATGGAAGCACCGTTTTCAAACCAAAACCAGAAACATCTCAAAGCTATTGGTTTTTTTCATCATTTTCTTTCCTTTTTGTTGAGATTTCTTCAACAAATTTTGTCTAAATCCACAAATCATTTTGAGTAAGCTGAAAATAATTTACCTGATTTGGTTGCGTGAGCTGTGGTTCTTCATCAGGTTATTTCAACCTCCTGAGCTCCCTGAGTTTGGGACAGGAGTTTTGGATTGTTCCCTCCTCTTCTCCAGAGAAATGTGACTCCATCCTTTTCCCTCCATCAGCCAAAGGCTTCATTAAAGTGGAGACTCCCACCTGAAGCCAGGAAAACCCTACAACATTTATAGATAATAACCTTCAATAATGAGTGTTGATAAGACCAAGCAAAGTTAAGTTTCACTACATTTATGTCAAAGTACTCTTAAGTTACATTTTATCACTTTGGTATTCTGTTAAAATTTATTATACTTGCCATCAGAGTTCATCATTCCAAGTTTAAGTGTTGTTTAATATAAAGTACCCTAAGTTTTGTTAAAAATCATTTGTCTAAACTTTAAGATACCTAGTTTATATTGTGTTGGGTTGGATAGAATAGAATAGAATAGAATAGAATAGAATAGAATAGAATAGAATAGAATAGAATAGAATAGAATAGAATAGAATAGAATAGAATAGAATAGAATAGATGGATATTGCCATCCCCTTCCAGTGCCACCCTCGGGCAGCTGTGGGTCCTCTGGAGTGCCAGGCCACAGAGCTGGCAGCTCCCCAGGAGAGCAGGGAATAGTTTTCCCCTTCTATATTTTTGTACTTACTAAGATATAACCTTATTCTTGAAAAAAAACTCTTAGTCCATGAGTTATTCCTGCAGGTAGAAAAAAATACTTTTTTTTTTTCTAAAAATAAACCAGCCTGACAGAAATTCATAAGTTTATCAAATTTCTGAGGGACTGAAAAACTCTTAAACTTAACTTAGGATCCAGTTTTCCCGTGGCAGTTTCTCAGCCCTGGTAGAAGCTGGAGATATTGGAGTGTGGAACAGAGATATTCCCAGATTTATTGTGAGCCTGACAATGATTATGTAGCCCATTGAGATGGAGTGGTGTGATTTAGTGGTTTGGAGGCATTTGTCAGGGTTGATGAATGCATCTGGTGATTCAGGCAATGAAAATGTGAGATTTCCAGCTGCTGGCAGATAAAGGATGCTGCCTGATACACGGGGTTATGGCAGGGGCTAGGGAAGGGGATAAAATTTTTATTTGTTTCTCATTTAGAGTTTTAAAGGGAGATGGGAAGGAAGATAAACTTCCTTCAGCTGAAGAGGCTGTGCAGAGGGTGTTTCCTAATGAATATTTGGCTTTCTTGTGTCTCTGGTTTCTCACCTGCACAGGGCATCCAGGTGGGTGCCCTCAGGGACACCTCGTGGGGATCTCCAGGCTCCCCAGCGTTCCCAGCTCTGCAGAAAGATGTGGAAATACTGATTTTCTCATTTGCCTGCTGCAGAGCGCACTAAGCTTTGATACAAAGCCAGCTGGAAATGAGGAATTGCCTTTAGATGGGTCCAAAATATGGGCATTTTCTTAGACAAAATGAGTTAAACAAAATTCCAGCCATATCCGGACAATTTACAGCTCATTTTGGCTTCAAGCTCACAGATAGAAACAGGTTCTTAGGAAAACAAGGTATTTTTGAGATGTGCTTTATACTGAATTTGTACAAAAATCCCAGAATCCTGAAATGCTTTGGATTGGAAGAGACTTTAAACCTCACCCCATCCCACCCTGCCATGGCAGGGACACCTCCCACTGTCCCAGGCTGCTCCAGCCTGGCCTTGGGCACTGCCAGGGATCCAGGGGCAGCCCCAGCTGTGCCAGGGCCTCGAGAAAAATATTTCCCATAATTGAATCAGGTATGAAACGCCAGGCAAAGAGAACCCAGCTCAGAGGCTGATTAAGGCAAAAAGGAAGAAAATTGAGGATCCTGTTGCTTCGGGAGGAGTGAAGAAAAAGCCTTACTGCTCTAATGGACATTTCTGAGTCATTTCGTGCCACTGCTGGTCCATTTTCCTGGAATGTTTTATTCTGAAGCTTTCAGATGAAAATGCTTTATTTTAACTAAGATATATAACTATATATTTTTTACCTTATATTATTTAGGGTTTCCAAGGAAAATGCATTCCATTCATACTCAGCAGAAGCAAACCCATGCTCTGCTTTGAATCCCAGGCTCAGCTCTCACTAAACAAAACCAGCCTGAGCTGTGCTAGAGCATCAATCCATAGAGAAGTACTTAGAAGGAATAAATTGATTTTCTCATTGCTCTATGTTGGCTAAAAATTATTTGATTATGTATTTAGCTGCTAATGGAAACTCATTAGTAGATTTTCATTTCATGCTTGTTTGCACCTGCAATCCATTTTTCCCTGTCCAAAGCACTGTTTCATTTCAGTTCCGTGCTATAAATTTCCTTGCATATAAACTGATAAGCGTCAGCCAAAATTCGGTGTACGCGGTCTGAAATAGCTCAGGGCCATCGCTTTCACAACAGCATCATTAAAGCAGCAGATCCCCGGTGATTCAGGGGGCTCGTTAACTCTGCATTTGATGGCCTAACTTGGCTCATTGTTTACTCATTAACTTTGTTATCCTCGTTAGTGTCAGCTCCTTGACGTGGTCCTGTTGGCTCTGGGCTCCCGAGCATCTTTTTCACCCAAAATGGGACATCCCCAACTTCAGGGCGCCCTCGCTGCCATCCCTGCTGTTCTTTGGGATGGAAATTCCACGGTGCTCAATCAAACCAAGCTCGGTGGCCTCTGGCTGGAGTTTGGAGGGAGATTTTACAGTGCCCTGCTCCAGCCAAATCCAACCCAACCAGGCTGAATTTCTCCTCCCTATGTAAGAGGCACAACATCCATGCAAATCCAGGTCAGAGACAAGATGGTAGCCCATGCAAAGCCTTTTTCTATATATTCTTTGATCCAATAGCATAAGATAAAAGGTGTAAACTCATTATACTTTAACCAATAAGAAAAGGACCCGCATGGGTTTAACATTAATAAAAGGAGCTCTATGAACCTCAAAGAATACACAATAATTCATTATTTAAGAATGAAACTTTTTCTGTCTTTGCAACGCATATGTCTAGGACTTTTCACATCTTGAACTATCAATAAATGCTTGTTCCTTTTGATAAATATAAATGTATTCACTTGGTTCTTAGCTTCCCCTGAGAAGGTTTAGAAATTTCCCAGCCTTTCTCAGCTTTATGTTTACTTTCTGGAGCCTTTTTGTCCTTTCTAAAGTCTTTTACCTTTTTTATATTCCTACAATTTTGCTTCCTGATGGGTTTGTGCCTCGGGATCTGCAGGAGATGCAGCCCAAGGAATCTGGTTTGTGTTCCTGGGATCTGCTCCCACCTCCCAGCCAGAAACCCTGCCCAGTTTAGGCTCAGCTCTGCCCTTTCATCTCCCTGGTGGCAGCCAGAGCCCACCCAAGGGGAAAGCAGAGCAGTCACCCCGGCTCACCCATCCAATATCCCCTCAAGCATTCCCAGCTTCATCCCAGCCCACCCTGGGCTGCAGCCCTGGCTGGGTTGGGAAGGCTCCTGCTGGGATGAGGAGTGCACAGAGCAGAGGTGCAGGAACCACCAGAGCCTGCTCACTATGAGCTGCTGGGCATTTTATTTCAGAGTAACCCAATTGATAGCAAAGGGTTTTCAAATCATGGGGATTTAGGGTTAAAAGGAAAATTAAGCTTTGTAGGCCCTGAAAAGAAAATAAATACCCTAAGTATTTATTACTTACCCTAAGGAAAGCCTTGTACCTTGCTAGAACTGCACCTGTGTAGCTAGTACATGATAAATGGTATAATTGTTAGATGTGATGATTGTTTAGTAATTAAATATAATTACTGTTTAATCGTAAGAATAATCATGAGAAACTGTGGTCAGAAGCTGAAGAAAGCTCATGAGAAACTCATGCTTGAATAAAGTCAGTGTATACAATAGAACAATATAAGTTTAATAATTAATGTGTAAGTTATATAAGGATAGAATATTAAATACGTTCAGCTCGAAAGCCATGTCGGAGTCAGATTTGGGTCTGCACCCCTGATTCCCAGAGCTCTCAATAAAAGCACCTGCAGATAATCACATCCTGGGATTCTGTGTGTTCCTGAATGCTGACAACATCCAGGTTAGTGAAGCAGAATCTGATCGTAATAATTATGTCACTTTTTGTTTTCATAGGAAGAAATTAATAAGTTGTTCAACTTCAGCAGAATTGCTCTGAATTGATCCAAATATGAGAACTGACTCTCGGTGTCATGTACTAGTGCAGCCCCCACAGAGAAAAATGCATTTGCTGTAAAAATATCTATTTTATCAGGTAGCTCAAGCCTCTGGGGTCTGCCTGCATTCCCCACCCGAGTAACTGAGAGCAGGAACAGCTCTGAATGTGCTTGTTAAGTGGGCCTGATCAATACAAATCTATTTCTCAATTAAGTAGAAGATCCTGGTGTATGTGTATTGCCTGCAGGCCAAAAGAGTTCAGAGGGAAACTGGATTCCAGAATACAAAGTTGTGTTGTTTTTGCTCTGTCTTTTAAATGAGCTTTACCAGCATGCAACTGCAATCCTTGTGAACTCTGCAGATTAAATTTCCTTGCAGTAATGACCACTAGGAATTAGTGAAATGTTAATCTTCCCACCTGCTGTGTATGATTATACACGAGTCTAATCAACTTGATTACAAAAGAAAGTAATTTCTGCTTTTACAGGGTTTTTGTTGTTGTTGTCTGCTTTAGTTCTTCCTGAGGAGCTGTGAAATTCCTTACCCTGTATTTTAAATCGAAAATAATGATTAAATTAAAATGTGTAAAGGGGAGCAATGGGGGCTGATAGTAATTGCTTTACAAGAGATACAGTAATTGATGCTCTGAGGATTTATTTGAAAGCATGGAAGTGAATTAGGAACCTGCTTTATCTGGATTTGCATTGCTCTGATGAAGTCACTGCTGCATCTTTGTGTCTTGGTTTTCAGCTAAACTCTTCTTAATGAGAATGCTAATAATTACAGTGACACTAAATTGTTTTAGGGACACAGGAGGATGGGAGCCACATTTTAATGTCCTTTAAAGCCACAGTCACCTTTCTGCTGCCAGCCCTGAAGGAGGAAATGCACCTGAATCCATCAGAGACTGGATCCATCCAACTCCTTGAAAATTCCAGCCATATCCAGACACATGTGTGATTGTAAAAACAGGATCAAATGCTACATCTGGTTGTATTTCTTGGCTTAAAGCTTTGTTAAGGCTGGGCCCACCCACCTCGGGAGCAGGTACTGCATCACAGAGAGGCTTTCCAAGTCAGAAATCCAGGAAAATGAGCGTACAGGTACCTGGAAATACAAGGAACGTGGGGTAAGCCACAGCAAATATTATCCTGCTTCATGCAGCAGTCAAAGCCAGTTTCCTGAGCAGCCACACACCCCAGAACACCTGAACTCCACCCCCTGCTTGCCCACTGGGCATGGAGACCCCTGGAATAATCCCTGGATTCCAAATCATCATCTCCATCCATCTGATCAATATACGGCTGCCTCTCACCCAAAACCATTCCAGGCCCCACGAGCATCCCTGCACAGGCAGGTTTGGCATTCCCAGAGCAAGGAGATGCCAAATGTGCCCCCAGTGTCCCCAGCAGTGCTGGGGATCTCCATGGTGACAGCGTGTGCCCTGTCCCTGAGCTACCTGAGCGAGCACTGCCATCCTTTCATCTGATCCTCACTTTTCATCTCCGAGTGCACTGGGCTCCTAATGGAGAGGAACTGCCAAACACCCTCATATTCCTTAGAGGAAAAGCAATTTTTTTTCTCATCTACACTTCTGCAACTTAATTCAAGTAGCAGCTTTTGGAGCTGCCTGTGGAAGTCAGGAATTTGCCTTGGACACACACACAGAGCCAGCTGTAACCTGGGCTGGAGAACGGCAAAAACACCTTGCTAAAAACATCCCCAAAAACCTCTGAAGAAGCCCCTTCCTCCAAAGCTGATGCTGGGGCAGTCCCAGCTCTCCCACACCCCCAGTTCTTCCCAGACCAGAAATCCCAGAGATAACCCCAGCTCTTCCTCATTTCTGGTTGTGGCACAGAAAAGGAATGTGGCTGAATCCAGGCCTTTCAGGAGCTGCAGTCTGGAGCAAAATCCTTCTGGGATGTCCAAGCAGCGTGTCACCCTGTGGCAGGAGCTGTGGATGTTGATTTTGGAGGGTGCCACAGCCACAGCACAGCCAGAATCACCTGCACTGCGCCGTGGTTCCTCCCTCTCCCTCCTCCTCGTGCTAACTCTGCCTCTTTGAAAAGCTGAACATTTCCAGCTTGGCTCGTTCAAATCTTCAACACCTTAAACAATCTGGGTTCTCTCAGGCTTTGGGTTGTACAGGAATATCCTTGGGAGAGGAACCCTGAGGCTGGGAAGGGAATCTTGGAGATTGGAGACTTGTGGGTCTCAGATTCAGTCAAAGAAAGAAACTGAGAGTTTCTAGCCAGGTAAAAAGCCTGGGAAAGAGCTGGGAAATAATGTAAATAATTCTTTATCTCTCTTGTTTTTCACATTGTTTATAGTTAAGTTCTATCACTGTGTGTCAAGCACTCTGTACCAATGCTATGGGTTGTTTGCACTTCAGGACCAATGGATTTGGTCCTTGCAGAGCTCTTTATAAAAGAGCAGTGTATTTTGAATAAATCAGAGTTTTACTCTCAGCAGCCTTCTGATCAGAGTCTCCTCATTCCCATCCTGCCCCGACAGCGACAGAGACTGATCTCCCAACCAGGGCCCCCATGCAGGCTCAGCAGTGTGAGAGAGACACTGTGGTTGTGGCAGAGATAAAAACCATTCAGCGGGGATATCAGCTGTAAAACTGAATAAAAAAGCTCCTGAGACACCCTCCCGAGGGAGGCCAGCCTCGGGGAGTGTGACATCAGGGGGGACAGGACGGATTGCTGCACACCCACCCCCCCATTGCCTGCATTTTGGGGTTTAATCTTTCTTTTTGGAGAAATAAATCCAATAGATCACTGAAGTGCTGTTCCCAGCACTCTGCAGTGCTCTGCTCCCCCTCCCAGCACAGCCCCTGTTATCTAACACCTGGGAGGGGATTTAAAAGGAACTCTTCATCTCTTCTCATACATTAGTGCTAAGTTTAGCTGCTGTAGGTAACAATTTCTGTTTGAACTAATAAAGAGGTATGTTTAGAATCTCAGGGGCACACTCTCTGCTCATTGGAAACAAATGAAGATTATGTAAGGAGGAACGGGAGCTACAAATAGGATTCATAAAATTAATTGGCTCTAAAGCTGCAGCAGCGTGGAGCCATTCAAAGTGACAAGTGGCCACAGCGTGTCCTTCCCCCTGGACAGCCCTGGGGACAGCAGGGCCAGGCTGGAGCACTCAGGGCTCAGCTCCTGCACTGCCACGCTCCCCAAGCTCCCCAGTGCTGCCCTGATTTTTAAAATTGTTAAGTTTTCTTTTATAGTTCTTCTGAAAGTCTTAAAGTTCTTCTAAAAGTTTTCTATGCCTTCTGATGTTTACATATTTCTACTGCAGTTCTCGTGCACTGTTCATGTAAATAATGATTGTTTTGCATTCTCCTTTGAGGGAGGAGAGAATTGATGGGCTGTTGGTTTGACCAGTGTGGTTGGAGAGGTGGCAATTCCATCCTCCAATCCATGGTCACCTCTGGAATTGTATAAATACCAAATAAAACACTCTCTTTTTCTCCTTTGAACTCACCAAGCCTTTGTGTACTTGCTTCGTGTCCAGGAGCTCCACCTTGTCCCATCTCTGCCTCTCACAAGGGGCAGGGATGCTGCAGGCAGAGCCTGGCGGTTCTGCACCCTGCAGAAAACCCCACACCACCCCACAGAAAACCCCACACCACCCCGCAGAAAACCCCACACCATCCCGCAGAAAACCCCACACCACCCTCAAAAAACCCCACACCACCCCGCAGAAAACCCCACACCACCCTGCAGAAAACCCCACACCACCCCACAGAAAACCCCACACCACCCTGCAGAAAACCCCACACCACCCTCAAAAAACCCCACACCACCCTCAAAAAACCCCACACCACCCCGCAGAAAACCCCTCACCACCCTGCAGAAAACCCCACACCACCCCGCAGAAAACCCCTCACCACCCTGCAGAAAACCCCACACCACCCTCAAAAAAACCCACACCACCCTGCAGAAAACCCCACACCACCCCGCAGAAAACCCCACAGGGCTGCTGCTGGAGCCCAAAGCCTCAGCTCTGCCTCAGCTGAGTGCAAACCACAATTTATTTGGCCACCAGGGCCAGCCCAGCTGCCAGAATTCTGTGCACAAACCCAGGGCAGCCTGCTCCCCCTGCTCCTTCCAGCCCAGCAAACAGTGCTCCATGTGCTGATCCTCAAGGCTCAAATCCAACTCGGTGCTGCCAAATCCATCTCGGGATTCCCTGCAGGAGCCTGTCTGATCCTGGGATGCTCCAGGGCAGGAGCAGGGACAGATTTCTCCACTCACCCCCTTGCTGCAGGACCACTTCCAGCTGCCACACTGGAATGCCCTAATGCAGAACCTGGAGCTGAATCCCTGGAATTCCATTTAAAGCACCCTCTATTTTTGTACATGGAAATCTTCTGGAATAGCTTCCACATGTTCTCCCACCCCAGAGTTGCCTTCAGCCCGAGAGCACTGAGCTAAGAGCATTAAATTCAGTCCCCACCACAAAACCCAACCTGAATTAGGCTCTGAGTGTCCTTTCAATTGCAAAGCATTGTAAAAACTCACCCTAAGAAGTGCCATATAAACAGAAAATATAGAAATATTAATATAGATATTTTCTATGTATATTTATATATAAATATATATTATATAAATATATAATTATAGACAATAAATAAAATATATAAATATATAAAAATATATTTTAAAATCTATAAAAATATGAATTATAAATAGCTCCAGGAAGCTGCTGCAGGAGCTCTGCAGGACCTCCTGCACAGCTCTGAACAGGCAGCCCTGGATGGGCTCTCCTGGATGTGTCTGGAACATCCCAGCTGAGACCCGAGGAGCTGACACACACACACACACACACACACACACAGAGACTCCAGAATCAGCCAGCATTTCAAATAAATGGAAATAAAACTTCCCCTGCACCTAATTAATCCCAGTCTTATAGGAAGGCAACTCCTGTTGTTTCTGAGGGTGTCCCTGCATTCCCCCACACCGGGTGGTGCTTGAGGAGCCACCCACCCTGCCTGGGCTCCCTGGGGCTGTTCACACCCAGATTTAGGAGCAGGAGTGACCATTTAATACCTTTTCCAAAGGAACTGGGCCGTGCAGGTGTTTTTTAGGTTATCCCACAGCACGAGCCGAGATTAAAATCTCCCTCTCGATTTCCCGTGTCTGGAGTCTCGCAGCTCTCCAGACACGGCTTCTATTTACAGAAAACTTTCTCCCTGTGGATGGTGTTCTATTCTCAGGTGTCACCTGCTCCTCAGAGCCACCCCCACGTGGAGTGAGCATTGTAAATCAGGTGAACCCAGTGGGAAGAATTGATGATGTCTGACTCCAGTTCAGAAGGCTGAATTATAACTATACTATAATACATGAATATACTATTTAAAGGAGATACTAAAACTATAAACCTACTTTTCTTAATTATCATATTTAACTAACTCCCAGCTCCTGACCCTCTCTGAGAGCCCAGCCACAGGTGGGTTGGATTGGCCATCAGCTCAAACAATCCTCACCAGAATCCAACCAAGCCATCACCCCAGGGAAACAATTCTCCAAACACATTCCACATGGGAAAACAAGAAGCAGAAATAGAAATTGTTTTCTCTTTTTTTTTTTTTCCCCTCTGTGCTGCTCTATGGAAAATCCTGAGAGAGAGGCATGTGCCAGCCACCAGGGAGAGTTTGGGGGATCCCAAGAGCAGGGAAGGAGGAGCTGCAGGGTCAGAAACCAGTGTGGCACCCACTGCTGTCACTGGCACTCCCCCCTCGTGCAGCTTTGGGTCATGGCTGTCAAAACAGGCATTTCTTTATGGGGCTGATACCATAAAATCAGCCAAAATCACTTCTTCCCCTGTAGTAAAAATATTTTCCTATCGAAGTTTTTCCATTTTTCAAACGGTATTTTTGGCGGGTGTTACAAAAGAAGGGAGTGACGTTGTGATACTTTATACAGAGCCATATCTGCCTAAAGGTGAGCAGAGCCATGGAACCTCTCCTCCTGCCCCCTGGCACCCTCCCTGAGGGTTTGGAGAGCCCAGGATGCAGGTTCTGCTCCCACACACAAAGCCCTGCTCAAACACATTTCTCACATTTCTGGGTTCTGAACGTGTTCCTT